GACTTCATAAGAAGATAACTGTTTATTGGTAGATCCAGAACTAGAGACACGTGTGCAGCTTGTGTCAGGAATGGGCGCAAATACGAGGACCTCTGACTTATACTAGAATCAAACGTCCCGCCTGTAAGCATGATGGATACATCTTGCGCGCGCGGGCAAAGCAAGCAGGCAAAGCAAAAGCTGTTAACTTTCCCAGCCGAGTAAAACTGCAGCTGGAGCATCTACAAGGTCAAGTATAAGATAGCAAACAGTTGGTGAGCCAGGGAGAGCTGAGACAGAAAACGGGAGGGCACCCCTGCACATTCCAGACCTATGACAGGGCTACCTGACAAGTGTGCAGACTCTAATTTTGCATCATATAATGTGTCATGTTAATCCTTCTGCTTTGCTTCAGTTGTGGGTTTTTTAAAAAATTCTGGTTGGATCTACAACCCTAATTCTATTGCATTGTTTATTGAATGTCTCATCCCGTTGACTGTATGGACTCATTCTGTGTAATGCACCTTGAGTCCAAGTGAGAAAGGTGGACTATAAATAATGTAATAAAAAGGAGACAATCTTATCTCAAAATAATTTAAGGGAGGATTTCCCCTTATTTTGCCTGCCTTCCTTCCTTCCTTCCTTCCTTCCTTCCTTCCTTCCTTCCTTCCTTCCTTCCGGTCTCAAAGCCTCAAGCGGAGACTCATTCTAGGTCAAAGTGGATGATGGCAGGCGAATGCTGCTGCTCTCAGTATGCGTGTAAGAAATCTGGACACAGCCGGGACTTCTCAGTAGTGGGCCCCCTAGCCTTGTGGAGTGTCCCACCTGCATAGGTCAGGCTTAGCCAGCATTTAGGCCTTAGTAATTAAATGTGACTATTCATTTAACCTCTCGGTTTTGAGCAGTGCCACATCAGAATTGGCTCAAACCAGGCTAAACAATCATCTTAAAATCATTTTCTACGCGTTGTAATGTTTTTTTGGGGGGGAAATTTGCAACAGCCAAAGGAACCTCTGAATCCACCCCTGCCAAAAGTCTCCCCAGCTTCTCTCCCACGGATGTCTAGCATTTAGGAGAGCTTCTCTGGTTGTTCTCTTTAGGGAGCGCCTTTTGTTAACTGGTGACCAGTGTCCTGCACTTGTCACGGCCCTAGGCCTATAGTAGAGCGGCCTGTAGGCCCTGGGGAGGCCTATATTAAAGTAGCTACCAGGCCTACATTTCCCAGACACCTTCCGGGCCGTGTGATTGGTAAATGGGTATTTGGAGGGAAAATGTGGGCCAATCAGGGGTAAGCGGGTTGTGCCTGGGAAGATGGCTCACTCCTAGGAAGCAGGGCTGGGAGAGGCTGCTGCAGACGGAGGGATCAGGGTGGCCAGCTCCAGGCTTATTTTATTTAATTTAGTTAGTAGACTTTTACCCCACCCTCCCGGCAAAGCTGGCTCAGGGCGGCTCACAGCAATACGGAACAATACAATGTCAATATAAGTTATAAAATCCATTAAACTCACAAATTCTAAAACCATACATATCATCTATGTATCTAATAGCCAACATGCCCCCTCTGTGCGGATATCTAAATCCACACGTCAGGAGGACATGGAGGGTAAACAGGTTTTCCTGCACACTCGGGGCACTCCCCAGGTGTGCAGAAAAATCTGAAATGTTGAAATAACTATACAGGGGATACTTAACACTCCCCCCCCAAAAAAAAGCACAACAGCTTTTTCTGCTCATGCACAGAGAATGGACTTACTGAAGATGAGGAGCCTTCTCTCCCCCTCCCTTCCTCTCCTTGGAAAGCAACTGTTTTGAGCACATGACTGGCTTTGAGCACATGACTGAGAGCCAGTTTGGTGTAGTGGTTAAGTGTGTGGACTCTAATCTGGGAGAACCAGGTTTGATTCCCCCACTCCTCCACTAGCACCTGGCTGGATGACCTTGGGCAAGCCGTAGCTCTGATAAGAGCTGTTCTTGAAAAAGAGCAGTTCCTGTCAGAGCTCTCTCAGCCCCACCTACCTCACAGGGTGCCTGTTGTGGGGAGGGGAAGGGAAAGGAGTTTGTAAGCCGCTCTGAGACACCTTTGAGTAGTGAAGGGCGGGGTATAAATCCAATCTCCTCCTCTTCTTTTTTTCCTAGCAACAAGGCCTTTGCAGGCTTTTCTGCTCTTGGGAAGCCGGGAATGAAGAGCGATGGAAAACCGCGGGTGGCTTTGTGGCTGAGCCTGCATCTGGCTCAGCCTCCCAGGCAATGCCCACCGCTGCCAGGCTCGAAGTTAGCAGAAAAGAAGGAGGGGAGAAAGAAAGAAGGGGGGGGGATTGGCTTGGGGGAGAGAGAAAGACGGGGGTATTTGCTCAGCAGGGAGAGAGAGAGAGAGACAAAGAAAGGAGGATCGACTTGGTGGAGGGGTGGAAAGCCCACTCCCCCACTTGCACCTGCTGATGTGACCTTGGGTCAGTCACAAGCTCTGGCACAGCTGTCCTTGAAAAACAACGGTTCCTGTCAGAGCTCTCTCAGCCCCACCTACCTCACAGGGTGCCTGTTGTGGGGAGGGGAAGGGAAAGGAGTTTGTAAGCCGCTCTGAGACACCTTTGAGTAGTGAAGGGCGGGGTATAAATCCAATCTCCTCCTCTTCTTTTTTTCCTAGCAACAAGGCCTTTGCAGGCTTTTCTGCTCTTGGGAAGCCGGGAATGAAGAGCGATGGAAAACCGCGGGTGGCTTTGTGGCTGAGCCTGCATCTGGCTCAGCCTCCCAGGCACTGCCCACCGCCGCCAGGCTCGAAGTTAGCAGAAAAAAAGGAGGGGAGAAAGAAAGAAGGGGGGGGATTGGCTTGGGGGAGAGAGAAAGATGGGGGTATTTGCTCGGCAGGGAGAGAGAGAGATAGACAAAGAAAGGAGGATCGACTTGGTGGAGGGTTGGAAAGAAAAAGGAGGGGTTAGCTTGGGCAGAGAAAGAAAGGGGGAGAGGAGGGAAAGGGAAGGAAGCCAAGGTGGGGGGGGAATGCCCCCTCCCCACCAAAAAAACTGGGTTTTTCCCCCCGAGCTTAAAAATTTCTGGAAATTTTACATCTCTAACTGTGTGTAGCCCTGGGAAAAGCAGTTCCTAAATGCTCAGATCCATAAAGCACCTGGGCTTTGTAATTGATTTGTTTGTAACTGATCGTCTCTTTCCCACCCCAGTTTGAAGGGAAGTATAAAAACGAAGCCGTCGGCCAGCACCTCCACGCCCTGAAGAGAGAAGTGAAGCTGCTGCAGGCGGAAGCCACGAAGCCCCCTTCTCCAGGTGTCGTGGAAGCTGCGGTGCACTTGGAGAACTTCATCACGTAAGCGTCTGTCTAGAAGCATAGAATAGAACCAGAGAATCACGGAGTTGGGAGGGGCCATAGAGGCCATCTAGTCCCACCCCCTGCTCAATGCAGGGTAAGCCTAGAGCATCCCTGACAAGTGTTTGTCCAGCCGCTGCTTGAAGACTGCCAGGGAGGGGGAGCTCACCACCTCCCCAGGCAGCTGATTCCACTGTGGCACAACTCTTACTGTAACAAAAGTTTTCCCTAAGATTCAGCCGTTGCTTTCCTTCCCTTCATTTAAACCCATCCTAGCGAGTCCTCTCCTCCGCTGCCAGCAGCCCTCCTCAAAGTGACAGCCCTTCAAATAGAATCACAGAACCACAGAGTTGGAAGGTGCCATAGAGGCCATCCAGTCCAACCCCCTGCCCAATGCAGAAGGCTTGCTGTGAGATGTTGGCTTGTTTGTCCTTTTTTGAATTCTGGGAGGGGGGGCGTTGGGGAATTTGGATACCCGGTTTGGCGACTCTAAGTGGAGGGACCCCAGGGCCCTGGACAAGGTTCTTTGCATGCCCTGAAGCCTCATGCTTAGGGTTGCCAGCTTCGGGTTGGGACCAGTGTTCCCCCTGAGCTGAATTAGTATGAGCTAGCTCACACTTTTTAGCTTCCGGCTCACACATTTTTGCCTTCGCTCAGGAAGGAGGGCTCCAGAGCAAACTCACTTATGCAGTCGCCAAATGGCTCACTCACAACTTTAATGCCAGTAGCTCACAGAGTTTTGCTCACAAGACTCCACAGCTTAGAGGGAGCCTTGGTTGGGACATACCTGGAGATTTTGAGGATGGATCTTGGGAAGGCAGGGGGACGTCAAAACGCTATGAGTCCGTAGAGTCTACCCTCCAAACCGGCCAGTTTTCTCCAGGGGAACTTTGTCGTCTGGAGATCAATTGTAATAGCGGGAGATCTCCAGGTGCCACCTGGAAGTTGGTGATCCTACCCTCCCCCCCAAGCTGTTCTGGTCAGAGGATTCCCTGGAACCTCATCCTACAAGCACAAAATACTGCGGTAGCAGGAAAAAACACCACCCTGTGCATGTGAGTTCCTGCAATAACACGTGCAAGCAAAATGTATGTATTCCTCCAAAACATTTCTATGCCACGTTCCCGCCAAATAGGGTCCCCAAAGTTGGTGTATGGTCAAACTTTAAAACGTTTCAGCGTTAAAAAAGCATTTAGAATACAGTGTCTGTACCACAAATCAGTAAAACCAGGAAAATTCTTGTTTGTTCTTTTAAAGAGAGAATCTGTCCCAGATGGTGCATTATTGTCTGCTTCAGGGCTTTTTTTGGTAGAGAAAGGCCAGCAGGAACTCATTAGCATAATAGGCCACACCCAACAGCTGAAACACATTAGCATATTAGGCCAAACCCCCGACAGTGCAGCCCATTAGCATATTAGGCCACACCCCAATGCCTTCCCTTGGCTTGCTCGGGTGCCCCACAGCTGCAGGGAGCCCGGGCAAGCCAGCCCTTGGACAGGCTGGGGAAGACACGGGGAGGCATTTAAATGCTTCCCTGATCCTTCCAGGCCCCCCCCCGGTCCACCTGCCTCGGAGGTGCCAGGGGGGGGGGTTCCCTCTCCAGGCCTTCCCTCTGTAGCCAGGCACGCTTTTGGCTGTAGTGGGCGTGGCCAACTCTGAAGCCAGCCGGAACTCCGTTCCTGTGCCTTCCTGCCCCAAAATAGCCCTGGTCTGCTTCTACATTTGAAATAATGTATTCTTACGAGTACATCTGATTTTTCTTGTTGTTGTATGTAACAACTCATAGTATTGGATAAACCTGACGAATCTATATTTTCCTCTAACCTTCCCTTTTTTAAATCACTTTTTTGAGAAAACAAGAAAACAAAACCAAAAAACCCAGTTAAAAACGACAATTCAGTAAAAACATATAAACACACCTAGCGCCAAATACAGGGAGGAGCTAAATTGCAGTTACTGTTATTGTTTTCTCTTGTGTTTTGGGGCTCTTTAGATCATGGTTGCTATAATTCTTTTTTTTTGGAGGGGCGTCCGGTCTCAGTCGACTTACGCTGACCCCGTAGGGTTTTGAAGGCAAGAGCCGAGCAGAGGTTGTTTGCCACTGCCTGCCCCTGCATTGCACCCCTGGACTTCCTTAGCGGTCTCCCATCCAAATACTAACCGGGGCCGACCCTGCTTAGCTTCCGAGATCTGAGGAGATCAGGCTACCCTGGGCCATCCACGTTAGGGCAATTCCTTTAGCGAGTCATATATAAATACTGAATGTGTCTAACTCACTTCTATTAATGTGGATACAGCACTGTTCTGCACTTTCTCTGTGGGCAACCTCAAGGAGACCGAGTCTGCTTTGAAGAGTGTTTAGAAAGGTCTCCTTCACAGTTTTGTTTCCCAGGCCCTTGCTAATCTATCCCCCCCCCCCCCTCCTCACCCCCGGCTGCCGTTTTCCCACAGAGCTTTAATCAACCTCTACAAGCTGCAGCCTGTGCCAGGGATTCACAGAGTCGGGATCAGTCTGTTTTTTGCAGTGGTGGGCTTTGTGAGCGACGAAACGCAGCGCCATCCCCCCACAAGGCAGTTCTTCAGCTCCTGCATCGAGATCCTTGGCCAAGTAAGTCGATTTGGGGTGGGAGTGTGTGTGGTTTGCAGTCCAACATCCTGTCTCACACTGGGGCCATAATTGTTTTCAACAAAGGACCCAGCAACAAGATATCAGTACAAAATTAACATATTGCTGAACAAGTTCTTTACAACAGGGCATAGAGTCCGAGGCCTTCATAAGAACACAAGAAGGGCCCTGCTGGATCAGACCAGTGGTCCATCCAGTCCAGCACCATGTCTCACAATGGGGCCAACCAGTTCCTCTGGAAGGCCAACAACAGGGCATAGAGTCCGAGGCCTTCATAAGAACACAAGAAGGGCCCTGCTGGATCAGACCAGTGGTCCATCCAGTCCAGCACCATGTCTCACAATGGGGCCAACCAGTTCCTCTGGAAGGCCAACAACAGGGCATAGAGTCCGAGGCCTTCATAAGAACACAAGAAGGGCCCTGCTGGATCAGACCAGTGGTCCATCCAGTCCAGCACCATGTCTCACAATGGGGCCAACCAGTTCCTCTGGAAGGCCAACAACAGGGCATAGAGTCCGAGGCCTTCATAAGAACATAAGAAGAGTCCTGCTGTATCAGACCAGTGGTCCATCTAGTCCAGCATCCTGTCTCACACAGGGGCCAACCAGGAGGGCCAATAGCAGGGCATAGAGGTCGAGGCCTTCCCCTAATGTTGTTTCCTGACACTAGTACTCAGAGTTCTGACTGCCTCTGAACGTGGAGGTTCCCTTTAGTGACCATGGCAAGTAGCTGCTGGTAGACCTGCCCTCCATGAATCTGTCTGATCTCCTGGTTCGATTCTTCTCTGCTCCCCAGTTAAATTCCCTTTTCTCCAGAATCTTGATTCCCCCCCCCCTTCCTATATTTTCCCCTTTATTCTTTCTGAAACCCCAGATGAGGCAGAGGTCATAGCCGGTGTTCCCTCTAAGCTGAATTGGTGTGGGCTAGCTCAGGGTTTTTTAGCCTCCAGCTCACAGATTTTTGTCTCAATACAGGAAGGAGGGCTCCAGAGCAAACTGATTTTATGCAGTAGACAAATTGCTCACTCACAACTTTAATGCCAGTAGCTCACAAAGCAGATTTTTTTTACTTACAGGATGCCACAGCTTAGAGGAAGCATGGGTCATAGCCACAAATTTCTCATCCACTAGGGTAAAACCACTGGTTTCAAGCCAGTATCTTTCGTGTGAAAAGGGCAGCCAGTCTCACAGAGAATGTAGTTCCAGGTCAGTAGGACTGCTGAGTACCTAAATCCACAGAGACATAGAATCCCAGAGTTGGGAGGGGCCATACAGACCACCTAGTCCAACTCCCTGCCCAATGCAGGACCAGCCTCAAGCATCTCTGACAAATATTGGTCCAGCCTCTTCTTGAAAGCTGCCAGTGAACGGGGAGCTCACCACCTTCTCTAGGCAGCTGATCCCACCTTTGAACCACTCTGACCGTGAAAAAGCTTTTCCTAATATCCAGCCGATACCTTTCTGCATGTGATTGCAACCTGTTGCTTCGGTCCCTCTTCTCTGCTGCTAACTGCACCAGCTCCCTGCCCTCCTCCAAATGACAGCCTTTCAGATATCTAAAGAGAGCAATCATGTTCCCCCTCAACCTCCTCTTCTCCAGATGAAACATTCCCAGGGGCCCTCAGCCTTTCCTCGTAGAGCTCGGTCTCCAGACCCCCGATCATCCTCGTCGCTCTCTTCTGCACCCTCTCGATTTTGCCCACATCCTTTTTGAAGCGAGGCCTCCAGAACTGCACACAGTACTCCCAAGTGCGGCCTGACCAAGGTATACAGGGGGGCGATGACCTCCTGCGATTTCGACCATGAGAACAAACCCTATAATAAGATGGAGCTGGGTCAACTGGCCCTCTCTTGCAGCAAATGTCTGCTGCTTAGCTTTCCAAATGCACCTGAGCTCTCACAGGGGAATGGGAAGGCCAAGCGGAACCGCGGGAGCCGTGCAGCACCTCTGGCAAATGAGACACTCTCTCCTCCACGTGTCCCTTCCCAGGTCTTTGTGGCGGGAACCAAATCGGAATGCCGGCCCCTCCTGCGGACCATTCTGAAGAACCGGAGGCTCTGCACCCTCCTCTCGCCTTACTTCACTCCTGTCGCCTCCCCGGAGGAGTTCGTGGACCTTTACGAGCAAGTGGTCTCCTTCCTCAGCGACGACAACAGCGACGTCATCTTCATGCTGCTCACCAAGGCAAGGGGGGGTCCTCAGCACTCCCTAGTAGCCAGTTCGATGTAGTGGTTAAGACCTCAAACTCTAGTCTGGGAGAACCAGGTTTGATACCCCACTCCTCCACATGCAGCTGCTGGTGTGACCTTGGGCCAGTCACAAGTTCTTTCAGAGCTGTTCTCTTGAGAGCAGTCCTCGAAAGAGCTCTCTCAGCCCCACTAACCTCACAGATTGTCTGTTGTGGGGAAGGGAAAGGAGATTGTAAGCCGCTCTGAGACTCTTTCCAGTATTGAAGGGCAGTGTATAAATCCAGTCTTCTTCTCCTCCTCCTCCTCCTCCTCTTCCTCCTCCTCCTTTGTGACTGTAGTGCTGAACCAAGGTTAATGCTGATAAAGGAAATTTGCATGGAAGGAAAAGAACACAAATATATCCTGTGGTTGTAATAGCATTATGACAACAATTTAAAAGAACAAATCACAACCGGTGTTCCCTCTAAGCTGAGTTAGCATGAGCTAGCTCACAGTTTTTTAGCCTCCAGCTGACACATTTTTGTCTTAGCTCAGGAAGGACGGCTCCAGAGCAAACTAACTTATGCAGTAGCCAAATTGCTCACAACTTTAATGCCAGTAGCTCACAAGACTCCACTGGCTTAGAGGTAGCATACATTTCTAATGGATTAGATAATCAAAATATTACAGTGGAATTTGAACAGACGTTTTGTCCCACATATAACGTTCTCAAAAGCAAAAAAAGTTACTCTTCCTTCCAATATTCTTTATATATACATGCAAATTAAGTATTAGAGTCCATTAATAACAGATAGGAATCTTCTGTTTTTAGATGCTGATGTGTTTTCTAGATAATTTCCACGTTCTGAGGAAAAACCTCCTTCTAAGCAGATTCCATAATTCTAAAACTGCAAAGAATATAAAATAAATTATATACAGTATCGTGAAACGCAGTACAAAAAAAACTCAGGGTGCCAAAGGTCCTTCAGTGTCAGTCTTGTCTACTCAGACTGGCAGGGGCTCTCCAGGGTCTCAGGTGGAGGTCTTTCCCATCACCTGCTGCCTGGTCCTTTTAATCGGAGATGCTGAACCTGGGACCTTCTGCATGCCAAGCAGAGGCTCTTCCGCTGAACCACTGGGAACATGCCAGCTCAGTGGCCTGCTCCCAGTCTCTCAGCTGGGAGTAAGAAATCGGGGATGATGCGGCTGCACCCGGTCCTCCTTTATATGCTAGGCAGAAATCCTTATAAACCCACAGCGAACATCCATACTATTGAGTCCTCTGCTCAGCCTTCCTATGCTTGGTTTTGGGTTTCCCCCATCTTCTCTGAGTCCTTCTGATTTTGACATTCCCCACAACCACAACCCCTTGGGCCAATGCTGTTTCCCCCCCTCCTGCTCCTCTAGTTTGATCTCCCGCAGTGGTTGCACAGCTCGAAGCCCCCTCTGTCGGCGCGCACCCGGCTGCTGGAGTCCATCCACGTGGCGCTCAAGACCTGCGGCTTCGAGCCCGAGGAAGACGTCTCGATGCCTTACAATCTCTTCTGCAAGCACTGGGCCTGCCTCCTCCGGTATCAGTTCCCCGACCACTACAGCACTTTCCTCAGGCTGCTGATGCAGAGTAAGTCCCCAAAGGCCTTTGGTCTCGCTGCTGAGCTGTCCTTCAGCCAGCGTCTGGCACAATTTCCAAGCAACAAAGTTGTAGCATTTCCAGTGGTGATGTGATGCAACTTTCAGATGCAACTTTCTGCTGAAAACAGTTGCTTTTGGAAAACAAAAGCCATGTGCTGCGATGATGAGGGTGGTGATGAGGGTGAGGGTGATGAAGAGGGTGAGGGTGATAAGGGGGTGAGGGTGAGGGTGAGGAAGGTGAGGGTGGTGGTTGTGATGATAGTGGTGAGGGTGGTGAGGATGGTGAGGGTGGTGATGGGGGTGGTGAGGAGGAAGGTGGTGAGGGTGAGGTGATGTTGGGGAGGGTGATGAAGGTGGTGAGGGTGGTGAAGGTGATGGTGAGGGTGGTTGTGATGATAGTGGTGAGGAGGGCAAGGGTGGTGATGATGGTGGTGAGGGGGATGAGGATGAAGGTGGTGAGGGTGAGGTGATGTTGGTGAGGGAGTGGTGAAGGTTAGGGTGGTGATGAGGGTGAGGGTGGTGGAGGTGAGGGTGGTGAGGGTGGTGAGGGGGATGAGGATGAAGGGGGTGACGTGATGAGGGTGAGGGTGGTGGAGGTGGTGATGGTTAGGGTTGTGATGAGGTTAAGGGTGGTGAAGGTGAGGGTGATGAGGATGAAGGGGGTGAGGGTGATGAGGGTGATGGTGAGGGTGGTGATTGTGAGGATAGTGGTGAGGGCAAGGGTGGAGGGGGATGAGGATGAAGGTGGTGAGGGTGAGGTGATGTTGGTGAGGGAGTGGTGAAGGTTAGGGTGGTGATGAGGGTGAGGGTGGTGGAGGTGAGGGTGGTGAGGGTGGTGAGGGGGATGAGGATGAAGGGGGTGACGTGATGAGGGTGAGGGTGGTGGAGGTGAGGGTGGTGAGGGGGATGACGATGACGGGTGAGGATGAAGGGGGTGAGGGTGATGATGAGGGTGGTGATTGTGATGATAGTGGTGAGGAGGGCAAGGGTGGTGATGATGGTGGGGGTGGTGAGGGTGGTGAGGATGAAGGTGGTGAGGGTGAGGTGATGTTGGTGAGGGGTGGTGAAGGTTAGGGTGGTGAGGAGGGTGAGGGTGGTGAAGGTGAGGATGGTGAGGATGAAGGGGGTGAGGGTGAGGGTGGTGAAGGTGAGGGTGGTGAGGGGGATGAGGGTGAAGATGGTGAGGTTGATGGTGGTGATGATAAGAACATAAGGGAAGCCAATGTTGGATCAGGCCGATGATGATGATGATTTTGGACAAACCAAAATAACACCCCCAAATTACATGAGTTTCGAAACTCTTCTTCAGGCTCGATTCGAGTCCAGTAGCACCTTAGAGACCAACAGGATTTTCAGGCCAGGAGCTTTCAAGGGTCACAGCTCCCTTCACCAGACTCTTGTGAAAGCTCATATGCCAAAAGTCTTGTTGGCCTCTGAGGTGCCAACTGGACTCGAATGCAGCTGTTGTACTGCTTACCAACACGGCTGCCTCTGAAACTATCTTCTTCAGGCTGTATGTTGGAGGGAGGAGGGGGGAAAGATGTCTCGGGGCCTGATTCATTTATTTATTTTGTTAGACTTTTGTCCCGCCCTCCCCGCAGTGTAGGCTAAGGGCAGGTTCGGAGGCCATGTAACTGGATCCCGTGTTGAATGCCTCGGGGGTTTTCGGTAGGTTGGGTGGTTTTCTGCCTCTCTCCAAACTACTAGAACTCAAGGTTGTCCAATGAAGCTGATGGGCAGTAGGTTCAGGAGAGACAAAAAGGGAGTGATTAAAATGTGGAATTTGCTGCCAGAGGATGTAGCGATGGCCGCAGGAATAAACAGCTTTAAAAGGGGACTACATAGAGTTGGCCTTTGTCCACCACTGCAGCACACTGAGTTGGCAGTTTCATTGATCTATCCACTTCGACCTTCCTCCCAAGATCTTTTTCCATCTCTGTCTCAGCAAAGTTCTGAGCCTGTACTTGGAAGTTGGGATTTCTTGTCATCAGGGGTCATTTCGTAGAAAAAGAGGTGCAGGAGCTCATTAGCATAACTTATTAGCATAACTTATTTGCATATGCCACACACACCCCTGGCATCACCGGAAGTGTGTCAGAAGGCAACACCCACCGCTCAGGCTCCACTGGACTGTTTTGGATTGCTTGCTATTGGGGGGGGGACGCGCAGATCTGCCCTCACAGTGGGCACCTTTTACCTGAAGGTGGGCGGGGGGGGGCTCTGCAACTTACCTGGCTGCTTCTTGCTCCTCATGGCCTGACTGAGGGCTGCTGGGAGCAGGAGGCGGGGCTTGTTGTATGTGCCCGCCCCCTGGCCTCCTTACTGCCGGAGCTCCGCTCCTGTGCGCTCCCACAGGAAATAACCCCTGCTTGTCATTGTGTTGGGATTTTCCGTTTATCGTGTGGGATCAGAGTGTGTAATACTGATCCCCAGTCATAGTATCAGATGTTCTGTAGTTCTATGGCTGTACTTGATGGGATCCAGCATTAAAACGATCCGTTTGGGGGTGTGTGTCTGTGTTTGCCTGCAGGTTCCTCGGATCAGCTCCTGTGCCCCGACTGCTGGAAGGTGTCCCTCAAAGCCCTGGGTTGCTACCCCCCAGCAGCCAACAATGGCGCCGGGAAAGAGGAGTCCACGGAAAACGTAGCGTTGCAGGCCTCTGCGGAGACACTCCTGTCAACAGAACAGGTGGCCCTTGATCAGCCCATGTTGTTGCACTGTCTGCATCTTGAGGATTAGTCTGTTGGTTGTCGCTGACGGTCCGATAACCTGGGCTCTCTGGAGGATATCCGGCCTTGTTTGGTGCGGTGGTGAAGTGCGCGGACTCTAATCTGGGAGAACCGGGTCTGATTCCCCACTCTTCCACTTGCACCTGCTGGATGACCTTGGGCAAGCCGTAGTTCTGATAAGAGCTGTACTTGAAAAAGAGCAGTTTCTGTCAAGAGCTCTCACAGCCCCGCCTACCTCACAGGGTGTCTGTTGTGGGGAGGGGGAGGGAAAGGAGTTTGTAAGCCGCTTTGAGGCTCCTTTGGGTAGTGATGGGCGGGGGATAAATCCAGTCTCTTCTTCTTCTTTTACTTCACAGGGTATCTGTTGTGGGGAGGGGAAGGGAAAGGAGTTTGTCAGCCACTCTGAGACTCCTTCGGGTAGTGAAGGGCGGGATATAAATCTAATCTTCTTTTACCTCACAGGGTGTCTGTTGTGGGGAAAGGGAGGGAAAGGAGTTTGTAAGCCACTCTGAGACTCCTTCGGGTAGTGAAGGGCGGGATATAAATCCAATCTCTTCTTCTTCTTCTTTTTACCTCACAGGGTGTCTGTTGTGGGGAGGGGGAGAGAAAGGAGTTTGTAAGCCGCTCTGAGACTCCTTTGGGTAGTGAAGGGCGGGGTATAAATCCAATCTCTTCCTCTTCTTCTTCTACCTCACAGGGTGTCTGTTGTGGGGAGGGGAAGGGAAAGGGGTTTGTCAGCCGCTCTGACACTCCTTTGGGTAGTGAAGGGCAGGGTATAAATCCAATCTCTTCTTCTTCTTCTTTAACCTCACAGGGTGTCTGTTGTGGGGAGGGGAAGGGAAAGGAGTTTGTAAGCCACTCTGAGACTCTTTTGGGTAGTGAAGGGCGGGGTATAAATCCCGTCTCTTCTTCTTACGCTGCCTCTGAGCCCCCATTGGCTGGAATGGCGGACCTCCGTCCACAGGCTTTGCCTCCCCCGAACGTGTGCCATTCCAGACGTCTCCTCTTCTCCCCGCAGGTGGTGGAGACCATAGAATGGCTCTCCAACTACTTCCTCAAGCTGCGCTTGTCCTCGCGAGACTTCCAGACCTTTGGCTTGTTCTCAAAGTGGGCCCCCTACATCGGCCAGGTGAAGCGCTTCGTGGAGTATCTCATCAAGCGGCTCATTGACTCCGAAGCCACCAAGTTGGCACGGGAGGCGGTGGGCAGTGACGCTGTCCTGGCAGGTAAGGCAACACCGGAAGAAAACATGTTTTGCATGCAGAAGGTGTAGAGTTCACTCCCTGATCTCTTCACTTAAAAGGAGCTCAGGCAGAAGGGCTGGGAATGGAGATCTTGTGCCTGACATATTTTTGTTTTTCAGCTCTGCAGTCTTTGCATTCGGTCGTCACCCAGCTCTTCACTCCATGGATCCTGGTTTTACAGCAGGAAGATGCAAGGTACTGGGAGACAGATGAGCTCACCAGAGTCTGTGGCTGATTATTAATGTACCGTTTCTGCTTTTAGAAAATGTCTGTGCCATCTTTCTGGATCACCTGCCTGAGGCTGCGTATAAAACAAAAAGAACATTAGACAAAACATAAAGCACCATGAGAGTCATTAAGAATTAGTAAAGTGTTTTTAAAAAGCCCAGGCACTGAGCTGTTCAAAACGAGCCGTGTAAAAGAGTTGTCAGGCTAAAAACAGATTGCACAAATTTTTTTAAAAAGTCAACCCCTTAATTAGAAGCAAGGTTTTTGCCTTGTGCTTAGAAGAGAATAGGTTGGGTTGGCACCAGGAGAGCCTCAAGGGGGGAGGGTGTTCCAGAGGTGGCGATGCCACCACCAAGAAGATCCAGTCTGGTCACCACCTGTCCTACCTGTGTGAGGGGGTTGGGACGGAAGGAAATGCAGAGATCAGGCCTTGTGAGGAAGATCATAGAATCATAGAACGTTAGAGTCGGAAGGGACCTTGGCGGGTCATCTAGTCCAACCCCCTGCACTCTGCCACAGAACAGCCGAAAGATAGCCCTACATACCTACAACATACCCGAAAGATGGTCGTCCAGCCTCTGCTTGAAAACGTCCAGCGAAGGAGCATCCACCACCTCCCAAGGCAGACTGTTCCACAGCTCAACCACTCTTACAGTTAGGAAGTTTAGCAAAGGCTGGTTTGGTATACATCTATTTTACATTAAGAACATACTCATAGAATGTTAGAGTTGGCAGGGACCTTGCAGGTCATCTAGTCCAACCCCCTGCACTCTGGAGGAGCATAGCTGAAAGATAGCCCTGCATACCTACAACATACCCAAAAGATAGTCGTCCAGCCTCTGCTTGAAAACGTCCAGTGAAGGAGCATCCACCACCTCCTGAGGCAGACTGTTCCACTGCTCAACCACTCTTACCGTTTGGAAGTTTAGTGAGGGCTGGTTTGGTATACATCTATTTTACATTAAGAACATACTCATAGAATGTTAGAGTTGGAAGGGACCTTGCAGGTCATCTAGTCCAACCCCCTGCACTCTGGAGGAGCATAGCTGAAAGATAGCCCTGCATACCTACAACATACCCAAAAGATAGTCGTCCAGCCTCTGCTTGAAAACGTCCAGTGAAGGAGCATCCACCACCTCCTGAGGCAGACTGTTCCACTGCTCAACCACTCTTACCGTTTGAACGAGCAAGTATGGGAGGAGGAAGAGGAAGCAGAAGACAAGTGTTTGCTGAGAGATCAGAAACCGGTTTTGTTTTAAAACAAGCAGATGTGCAATTGCAAGAGTTCATTTTTGAGAATGTATGTTAATGTTCAAGAGCAGTGTGGTGTAATGATTAAAGTGTCAGACTAAGATCTAGGGAGACCCAGGTTTGAATCCTCACGTGCCCTGGAAGCTCGCCGGGTGACCTCGAGCCAGTCCGTACCCTCATTCTGACCTACCTCACAGGGTTGTTGTGAGAATAAAACAAAGGGGAGGAGAATGACGTAAGTCACTTTGGGTCCCCGTTGGGGTGACAGGGGGGAGGGATATAAGTAAAGCAAATTATCATCTACTCTTAAGAACAGAAGTTCCTGTGTTTGGTGGAGACTTTGGACAGCCACTTTCCATCTGTTTTGGACCTGAGCCAGGGGCTCCATAGGTTCTCAGAAATTCCCAAAGAAATGATCCAAGAGATCTGGGTTTACTTACAAGGAGACCTTTAATAACACAACAGAGTTAACAGAAGATGCAGGCTGAGCTTCTATCAGCTGGCCTCGAGCGTGCACACATGCAGTGAAGCTTAGCCAAACCCTGAGACCAAGTGCATAACTAAAAGGAAGCATCTTACACCCTAAGTGCTGGCAGCCAGTCAAAGGATCGTTAATTAAGCTATCCCAACCACTTGGATGAGCCAGGCTGACTTGCACCTGGCTTCCCGGGGAAGAATCAACCCAGGCTTGGAAGATAAGCCCTGCTGACAAGCTTGAGAGAGAGATCAAGATCTGGTACCCAGGCCTGCGGCTAACCAAGCTGCCAACTTTGCTCTCATATAGATCCTAGCAACAACATCAGTGGGACCCAGCAACATCAGCCATGTCATCTCAAGGTTCCTACTCCTGCTCATCCTCCAATGTGATTTATGCCATCACGTGTCAGCAGTGCCCTTCCACCCTCTACATTGGACAAACAGTCCAGTCCCTATGACAAAGAATAAATTGACATAAGTGGAGAGCCAGTTTGGTGTATTTTAACCTTCCAGGACATTCAATTGCTGACCTGAAAGTAGCAGTTCTCTTACAAAGGGATTTCAAAGGGAGATTAGAAAGAGAGACTGCTGAATTGCAACTGACAACAAAGGTCAAGACAGTGTATCCACCTGGACTGAATCAAGACCTAGGTTTCCTGTCGCATTACCAATGCTGATTTCTCCATACCTACTACCTCCCTGCATATCATGCCTAATCCAATCACACCTATTGTCATTTGCCTGCTAATGTCATTTGGCATCTGAAATCACTCCACTTTCCAATATATAAGACAGACAGACGCACATTCTAGTGAGCAGTGACTCACGAAAGCTCATACGCCACATATGTTGTTAGTCTTGAATGTGCTACTGGGATATGTAAGACAGACAGACGCACATTCTAGTGACTCACGAAAGCTCATACGCCATATATGTTGTTAGTCTTGAATGTGCTACTGGACTCTTGCTCTTAAGCACACGAGAGAGAGAGAGAGATTTCTCTTGGGAGCGGTTGACACCATCCTCTCACAAGACTCAGGGCAACTAAGCACCAGCAGATAACAAAGATGGAGTCACCCAGGCCATGCAACATCTGAGCAGTCAGTGCTGAGCTCGAGGGACCAACGGTCTGACTCCTTCTAAGGCAGATTCATGTATTCGTATTGGTTTGCTCCGAAGTTCTCAGCAGGGCCCAGGAAGGCAAGTAGAACGGGGCTTTATTCTCAAATCTTATTCCTTTTCTTTTTCTGTCTCTTTCTTTAGCGAACAGCCCTGCTATCCGTGGCTGGAAAGTGACACTCCCATGGCTTCCCATATGGTGCAGTTATATGCAGACAGCATCGGAGTCCTACATGGGAGTTTCAAAGGTCAGGAAACACCCCCCCACCATTAAGAACCGTGAACAGAATTTCTTTTTTTCCCTTTTTTTAACTTCTATTGATATAACAAGGGAATTACAAATTATGCAACATTTGATCAGAATATGATTACACACACAAACGTAACAAGTGCTGCAACAGGTATGTCAAAACACACGCTTATGCATTAGATATATTTCTTTTATTGCAGAATAGTCAACTTAGATTTTGAAGTAAAAGTAAATGGCACGGTATGTGCTGTGATTGTAATATTATGTTTTGGACCTTGTGGGGCGAGGGATTTCAAACAAGTCGGTAAGGAAAAAAGGAGAGGTGTGAGAGATACGTGAGATGTTAGTAGTAGTGAGGAAGAAAAGTAATATTAAAGTCGAAGCCGTTGACGGCATGCTTGATTTGAAGGCGGTATAGCTGCTGTTGTTTTTTAAATAATTTTTTTTTATTTTAGTTTTACAGCGCACAGCAATAACTAAAACACAAATGAGCTGAGAAATAAATAAACTTAAACAGAAAAATATATAACACATTGGTTAATGGAATATAGACCAGTTATTATTAAAGTTTTAACCAGTCAAGTTTATATCATATGTAGCACATCATAGTATTTACTTGGAACCCGAACAATTGTGGATGAATCTTTATTGAAGATATATTCTAAAAAGGGATACCATTTTAACTGGAAATCACATTTGCCGATCTGATTAGTAAAAGTAGAAACCTTGTCTGAAATTTTGTCCATGGAATATAGCTCCCATAGTTTATTGTATTGAAAATGACTGGCAAAAAATATGGTCCTCTCCTTCTGTTACCTCCAAATCTCTGAATATACAACTGCAAGCCTACAATATATTAACAAGATGGTACCTTACACCTGCTAAATTACACAATATCACAAAAATTTAGCAGCTTGTTGGAGGTCCTGTGGGGGCTATGGATCTTTTATGTATATCTTGATCAAGAACATGAGTGATGAATGGAAACCATTTCTTGGAGAAGTTTGTTTGTCTGGGGGTAGATATCCAATTGGTGTAGTCTGAACAGAATTTCTCAGGTCTCTGTGGGCTTTGCTATTGAAATCCCCCTGGAATTGATAACCTGGAATATACCTGGTTTTATGTGTTCTTAAGTTTCTGCTGACTGTTTTGTCCCAAGCACTTTTTGGGTTCCTTGGTCAGAGGAGAAGGGGTGGGGTGGGGGAGAGATTCCCCCCCTCCTCAGCCCGGATGACGCTACTGTGCTTGGCAGAAACCATTTTCTTTCTTGTATTCTTGTACGAGCTAGTTTGGTGTAGTGCGAGCCAGTTTGGTGTAGTGGTTAAGTGCACGGACTCTAATCTGGGAGAACTGGGTTTGATTCCCCACTCCTCCCTTGCACCTGTTGGATGACCTTGGGAAAGCCATAGTTCTGATAAGAGCTGTTCTTGAAAAAAGAGCAGTTTCTGTCAAGAGCTCTCTCAGCCCCGCCTACCTCCCAGGGTGTCTGTTGTGGGGAGGGGAAGGGAAGGGAGTTTGTAAGCTGCTCTGAGACACCTTTGGGTAATGAAGGGTGGGGTATAAATCCAGTCTCTTCCTCTTCTTCTTTTACCTCACAGGGTGTCTGTGGTGGGGAGGGGAAGGGAAAGGTGTTTATAAGTTACTCTGAGACACCTTTGGGTAGTGAAGGGTGGGATATAAATCCAATCTCTTCTTCTTCTTCTTTTACCTCACAGGGTGTCTGTTGTGGGGAGGGGAAGGGAAAGGAGTTCGTAAGCTGGTCTGAGACACCTGTGGGTAGTGAAGAGCAGGGTATAAATCCCATCTCTTCTCTCTATTTCCACCTCGCCCCATTCTGGCAGATTTTACACCTGTACTGAAGAAGTTGAAGTTGCTTTTGTCTGCATAAATTTGGTGGAGAAGGAAGCTCAATACTTTCCCACCCTTATGCCTTCTTTCCTGGTATTCTGAGCTTGGCAAGACACTGGCATTTGGTGGTGGAAGCCAGAAAATCTTGCTGCAGGCCATCCCAGAATCTAAAGTAAAAGTAGCCAGAGAGATCGGGGGATTGGTAAATGAAAAATAAACAACCGTGATATAATTACGAAAAGTCTACTCAATCTTTCAAGTGTTTGATAACTATTATGCATTTCTGTGAAATCACATGGATGTAAATAGCCTTCACAATGAGAATAGTCCAATGACATAAAGAGCCAGTTTGGTGTAGTGGTTAAGAGCGGTGAATCTGGAGAGCCGGGTTTGATTCTCCACTCCTCCATGTGCAGCCAGCTGGGCGACCTTGGGTCCGTCACAGTTCTCTCAGAGCTGTTCTCTCAAGAGCAGTTCTCTCAGAACTCTCTCAGCCCCTCCTACCTCCCAGGGTGTCTGTTGTAGGGAGGGGAAGGGAAAGGAGATTGTAAACTGTTCTGAGACTCCTTCGGGTAGTGTCAGAGTTCTCTCAGCCCCACCCACCTCACAGGGTGCCTGTTGTGGGGAGGGAAAGGGAAAGGAGTTAGTAAGCTGCTCTGAAACTCCTTTGGGTAGTGAAGGGCGGGGTATAAATCCAATCTCCTCCTCCTCCTCCTCCTCCTCTTCTTCTTCTTCTTCCTCTTCTTCTTCTTCCTCTTCTTCCTCTTC